ACGCTCTTCCGATCTAATAATATGTACAATATATACAGTGAAATATCATGTAGATAATCCGGATGTGGTTAAGACCATCCATTATTGTAATATCTCATAAGTGATTTATTGGTAGTTCATTGTAAATGGACTGATAATTGTGAAGGTATATCATGTAAACCAATGGGGAATTCTAAATATTAATTGATCAATATAGTACTTTCCCAATGGTTTCCATATACCAATATGGTGATACTGATATTGTTTAACTCACTTGTTTAACTTGTCATATTCAAGACTCATAAATTGCAGGCTTTTTACTGTTTCAGTATGTGGAGAGGTGTAGTTTTCTTTTGACTTCGCAATTGTGATTTTCGAGACCTGCTTCAAGTCATTTAAAATCGCTTGTAAGAGCTTCGATCATTATCTTTAATTGCTCATTTTCTTTCTTCGATGATTTTACGGTTGGTTGTGCCATAATTTAAGACAATTATATATATATATTTAAGTTAACTGTTTAATGGGGAAAAAGCAAACTTGCGGTGCTCGGAATGGAACATCCTCTCTGGACGACCATCCTCGAATGTCCTCGAATTGAACATCCTCTCTCTATGAGAACCCAGAACAATGATTTCCACATTGGATCAATCCAGAGCAATTGGTAGATTGGAATGAGATTGCCATGTACCAATCAACAACAATGACATTTTGTAACATTTAATTTAGCTCTGAAAGCCTTCTCGTATCGCATGAACAAATGGAACAAAGCATTCAATGCCAAGTCCGTAGTTACGATAACGGATGTATCATCAGCGTATTGACATAGCTTAACTGACCGGCCATTTGGTAAGATGTAACTATCGATGAAACAACCTACACAAATTGCACAAACTATTGTTTCCACCACCAATATGCAAAGTAAAGGGGGTAAAGGACAGCCTTGACAATCACCATGAGAGACTCGGCTGTTTCAAACACCATGAAAAACTCAAACACCATGAAAAACTCAGCTGTTTCACCATTGATCAGGATACAGGACTAGGGATCCAAGGATAGTGTGAAGTTTCAAATTGAAAAAGACACTGCAAGAACTATATAGGGTCGCCGACAACCTAAAAAAGCTGATGGCTTACACTACGAAATAAACAGTTACCAAAGGCATTTCATCTCATCTATTGACAGTATTGTTTTTAATGTGTTCGGCACATGAATACCGAGATGTTTGAAACAACTGGCTAACACATCAAAAATGTCGTGCCTCGTGGAACTGATACAATTTAGTTATTTATTGTGATGCTGCACACGACAACTCGAAATTTAAGTTGTTTCACCAACAACCAAATTTTGCATATTCTAAAACTACATTTGCTTTGGGAGCTGTCACTAAAAGCATCCCCACGAGGCTACTGATATGCTAAACTTATTTAAAACTACGATTATTCCCATGATCCTTTTAGCGCCCATATTACATTTGTCTATTGTCTCGTGACAACTTTAATTGAAATACCTGTAGCTGTACAGGATTAAAGATATGTTATGAATAAAGATATGTTATGAATAATAAGCGCTACGACGTTGCATCATTAAAAGGACGTATTTTATCCCCATATCCGTTCCGTGGATCCGCTCCGTTCCGTGGATCCGCTCCGTTCCTCATCCGCTTCCGCATTTTAACCTAATTGTGATTTGTGACATGTTTCACAACAACAAGTCTCATTGACCTTTGACTTTATATTCCCAAGATCAAGTTGCTTTTCATGAGTCATTTTCAGCTTTTCGCAAGTATTCAATAATTTCACTTTAGATGTCAATAGTTTCACAGTTATAGCAATGTTTATAGCAGTTTTGATAAAGCTTTGATACAGATAGATTCGTGTAAGATCTGGTAGAGTGCTCATTGCATTAAATACTGCATTGAACATGAGTTTGCACTGTTGTGCCAGACATGTGAACAAGGCCCGTGACTGTATATTTCATACTGTAAAGTGATATACGTTGACTATTTCCTTGTCTTTCTCGTTTGAATAAAGAGCTCTGACGAGTCAAGAGATTTTCTTTAGTCTCGCAACAGGCTTTAGTCTTGCAACAAGTTATTTTGATGGTTATATTTTCTTCGTATTATAACGCCATACAATGATACAAAGACCGCTTCTGTTTATTAATAGTTGTTTATGCTACTGACTGATGCAAGTTTTCGCTCTTTGTACTGAGTGCAGCAGTGTAGCACCCTTATACAGTTGATGTATAATGAATATAAATAGTATATATTGGCACTTAAAATATTAATTAATTGAATGCCAGTAAAATACAAAACATCAATTTATATATTTGGTAGAATCCAAGATATTCATGTCTGAAATGTTTATATATTTGAAAACAAACTGTATGGGCAGTATGGCTCCTTCCTAGCTCTGCCTCTGTATAATGAATATACCGTCAAAATATCGACACTTAATTGAAAATGAAATGTTTATACATCTGAAAAAATGATGGACCAAAATTCGTAGACTGCAATACACAGGATAGATACCCCCCATTCCACCCGATCATATGCCTTCTCCTGGTCCAGCAAAATAACTGCAGCTGCTTTATGATTCTGATTGGCATGAAAAACGACATCCTTCAGCAACACTTTCTAAAGAATTCTGGCCTGTCACCCCACAAGTTTGATCCGGATGAGTTACCTTGGCAATAACACCCAGCAAACGATTGGCAATAGCTTTGGCAACAATTTTATAGTCAGCACATAATAATGTAATGGGACACCAATTCTTGATGTGGAGATGATCATCACGCTTATGGAGGAGCGTGATAACCCCAGATCACTGTAAGGGATACAACGCTGTAAGGGATACAATTGACCATGAATATCAGCAAAATTAACGACGTCGACAAGATCAGCTCCAAGAACTGACCAAAAACGTTGATAGAACTTGGCTGGGAGTCCATCAAGGCCCAAGGATTTACCAGTTGCCATGTGGCATCCAGTGCTCTCTTGCATTCCCCCTCAATTCCCCTTCACATAAACTTTGTTCAGCTCTGGACAGTGTCAGTGACAAGGAATTCAGGAAGTCTTGTTCAGTTCGATCTAGACTCGGCGACGTAAATAGTAAACCATAAAATGCCACCCAAGGCTGAGCAATACCCACAGAGGTAGAAACCACCGTGCTGGCCATGGTTTTAATTGAAGTAAAGATTCTGTGCTGACCGTGTTTACATTCTAAACCAAAAAATACCTGGCAGAGGCTTCTCCCTCTTCTGCCCATTGAATGTTGGTGCAAATACAGGTTCTTCTCGCTTCATCTCGATGAGCAGCGTCCAGTTCATTTTTGACGTCTTCAATAATTTGAAGGACCTCATTACCATTAAGCAGGCATCTGTTCAAATGAAATAAGGTAGGCTCTAACGATTTAATGAGCTTTTGACGGCTGGCAGCTTTCTTCTTAGAGAATTCACGTATATATTGTTTTAGTGCCTTGCCTGCATCCCACCGCCACAGTAAGCGACAAAAAAGAAGATTTCTACACTCAAAGATAACCAAGGACGCATCTGAAAGGTGCTGAGTATTCAACTTCCA